CGTTGGGAAGTACAGGCTCTGCCCATTACCTGCACACAGGCACCAGAGCAGGGACTGAGAAACACCAAGGGTGGGTCATCTAAGTGCTGTCCGTATGAACCTTGGACTTCCTGTCCTTAGATCCTCACATTTTATCCCTGTCTTTCTGGGGTACCTTTCAAACTGAGAAAGCTACAACATAGTGAAGACCCAAGGAAGGCCTATGAAATGGTCCTGATGCCCAACCTCCCACCCCTTCAATGTGGGGACGCGACCCCCTCATCTCAGAGTAATGGGAAGAACCTCCCGCATCTCCCTGGCAGCAGATGAGGTGGCTTCACATGCTCTTCCCTGTCTGGACTTCAGCCTGTATTCCGAGGAGTAGAGAGGCAGAAGAGATGTCAGCAAAGCAAGTGACGAAGCAGAGTGGATGTCCACTGCCACCAAGCTGGAGGGCAAGCTGCGGCCCACAAAACAGAGCCAGTCAAGGGTGGCTTTCCTGGTTTCAAATGTGCTCACACCATCACCATTTTCTCAGCCTCTTCTCACTGCCTCCAGAGAGGTGGGTGCCTGGGCTGACAGACACCGCTGCTATGTGATAGAGGTTGAGAGACAGAAGCCAACAAAGGAGGCCATTCCTCAACAAATATATTTCTCGGAGACCGACCTTGTGCAAAGCAGCGCTAATACAGGGTTCTCCAAGGAGCTTCTCTCAGCTTTTACCTCACCTCCCTCCATTTACATTAGGGCCTCCTTCCAGGGTGTGCTCGGTGGGCAGTGTGGGACTGGGGGCATGGGAGTTGGTGAGAGCAGGAGGAGAGGTGGGGACAGCAAGCAGCCACAGATTGGCATGAAGGATCCTGACCTCACTATCCATGCCATCCATGGCCCCCAGACTGACTCTGCACCTGGCCCTTTGCCAGACAGCTCTGTCTCACCGTGTCCTCTGGAACAACTGGGCATGGGTCATGGCCATACATGACCCTTAAGTGCCACTCTTCTTGGAAGACCCCCTCCAGAAGCATACTAGAAGCCACCTCTGGAAAGGCCTCATATGGTGATATGCCAAAACATTCATGTCAGTGTCCAAACAATATCCAATGCCATGAGACTGACGTCTTTGTGGAAACCACTGTTACAGACAGGCTTATTTCCAAAGCCACCTCATTTCCAAACATCTCACTCAGGAAGGGAGGCTCAATATAACCTCAGGGGCCAGTTTTAGCATTTGAAATGGTTCTGCTTGGAAAATGATTCCCTGCAACTAACCCTGGTCTTTCCCACAGCAATCTAACCAAATTTGGAAGGCACTGCCTTCAGCTGAGTTTATGAACAATGAATGCCAACCTTCAGGTTCTAGAAGATTATGGTTGCCCTCCCAAACCTTTATTCTATTATGATATTACTATTAAAATATTCTAATTTTGCTATTGAGGTAACTTGGTCCTGAATTTATGTTGTCATATACATCTGTCAGAGAACAGATAGCACCTGCACTTTATTTTATTTTATTTTTATTTTATTTTTGAGATGGAGTCTTGCTCTGTCACCCAGGCTGGAGTGCAGTGGCACAATCTTGGCTCACTGCAACCTCTGCCACCTGGGTTCAAGAGATTCTCCTGCCTCAGCCTCCAGAGTAGCTGGGATTATAGGCCTGCGCCACCACACCTGGCTAATGTTTGTATTTTTAGTAGAGACAAGGTTTCACCATGTTGGCCAGGGTGATCTCAAACTCCTGACTTCAAGTGATCCTCCCACCTCGGACTCCCAAAGTGTTGGGATTACAGGCGCGAGCCACTGCGCCCTGCCAGCACCTGCATCTTGTAAACAGAGAAAGTGCTTATGACATAGACCCCAGGAGCCCATGGCCATGAGGATTAGAGGTAATGCAACTGTCAACCCATTAGCCTGGTATCAGGCAGGTACCAGACACTGCTTATCCCTTCAGTGTAGTTCTGCTGGGCTCTGAGGAGGCCAGATCTCTGCTCTTGGGTTTATATCCAGAAGGGGAGTTGGACGCAAACAGCTAAGTCCATGGCACAAAACAGAATTAATACCATAATCATAATTGATCACATGGTCACAACCAGTACTACTACTCCCCAGAAAATCTTTCTTCTCAGCTGTCAGCAGGGAATATAATAGTGTCACTTTCATTTCACTTCTAGAGCAAAGCTTAACTTTCTTGAGTGTGTGACACTCATAGAGGATGTTGTTAAAATGCAAATTCCCAACACCTTCCACCCAGCCCCAGAGTCTACTTCTGTGGGTCTGAGAGGGACCCAGGAATGGCACTTTTAATGGCCCCTCATGAGATTGATGTGGATGGTTCCCAAACCCTGTGAGGTGGACTGTCAGTGCAGTGGAGCCTGGGGGATGCCCATTTGTGCTTAGGCCACTGAGAAATGTAGAGGCTCGATAGGCCTTTGGTATATTCAAAGGTGAGTGAAGGATAACAAGGTGAAGAGATGCCTGTGAATCTGATTTTTTGGATGACTGCAACCAAGAGTGAGTGGGCATGAAAAACAATCCGAGAGCTCACATTTATATGAGGCTCTTATCAGTACTGAGACATTCTCATTTCACAAGCTTGGATGTGCAAAAAGAAAAAAAAATACTTATTTCTTTAAATCAGTTATTGATTTCAAACCCCCCATCCTGCTGTCTGGCTGGAAATTCAGTATCAACCATGATTGGTTCTGGCTCCTGGAGCCATCTGAAAGTCCTTGGATGCCACTTACCCTTGAATCAAGGGTGCCATTGTGGGTCTTTGGTCCCTTTCCCATTTGAGGCTGTTTAATGGCCCTGCTTCTCACCTGAGCCTGGAAATCCTACAAAACCTAGACCCCAGGGTTAGGCCCACCTCCCTATGCACACTCGCAGCCATGCCCTCTCCCAGCCCCAGTCCTAGGAAGCCCACTCCTCTGCACCACTCCCTCTCTTCACCCAATCCAGCCCCTCAAGGGCTGAACAAAAAAGCCAGAAAAGGAAGAGTGTGCAGGAACCTTTTATAGTCCATCCTTCTTTGACGCTTCTTGGAAAAAGTACAAATACAGTGATAACTAAATACCATATCTCTATCAATTATCCTTTGGCCCAAAGCCCTCTGGGGTGATCCTCCATGATGGATGTCCCATTTAAAGGTGAGGAATCTGATTCTGAGGAAGCAACCGTTGTGGACAGCTTCACATAATAGCTGGCCCGGCCTAGACTCAAACCAGGCTGTCCACCTCTCTCTGGTCCAGCCCAATCTCCCCAGCTGAGTCATTCTGAAGAGTCAGCGTGGACTAAAATGGTGGAGAGGCCCCTCTTTTCCCACTGATGTTCACTGGCCCATGGGACGGAAGTGGGGGAATCTCTTGAGGGCCAATTAAAGTGGGTAAAGGAGGCAGGAGAACCAGGTAACAGTTCATGTACTTACCTTCTATTCAACAACTATTCATTAAACAGGGCAATTTATCCCTATAGCACCATGAGTTAAAGGAGAGTTGTGGAGAAAAGAGACAAAGAGGGAAGGGTTTTGAGGAGAAAAGGCCCTGAGAATCCTGCACACAGGCCTTCAAGGGAACAGCCCCATCTGGTGACTGCTTAGCAGATTCTTGCTCAAGAAACAAAGCCATGTGATTTTCTTCAACCACTCTCAAAGATGGAGAGATACAGTTAAGCTGGAGTCTGAAGCCAGTCAGTATCAAATCGATATTACAATATTATATTATAGCAAATCCAGGAGAAATACATCCTATCTTTCACAACCACAGGAATTAAATACCGGGAAGAAAGGTCCATCTTCTGTCAGTAGCACCAGATACCAGACTCATTATAACCTTTCATCAGAGATTAAATATGGAAACAGATCCTGGGCAAGCCCTTGGCAAATCATAAATGAGAGGGTTTTTCTCCATGACATACCCTGGCCATTCCTCCACTCTCCCAGCCACATCACGTCTCCAGCCCTGCTACAACTTGACAGCAATAATAATAACTAAATGTGCACAGATCTTTACAGTTTACCAAGCCATTAACCCATTTAGAACACTTCTTTAGTCGGTAAATCAGTGGGGAAGGGCTTGGCTATGCTGTAGTAACAGACCTCTCTAATCTTAGTCACTTGACACAACAAAAGATATCTCACTCACAGAACCTGCGGTGATCTGGGTGACTCTCAGGTCAGTGGCTCAGTAGTGCCCCTCTGCCTGCTCAGGGTCTGGACATATGGCCTCAGAGCCCGCCCCCCCCACAGCCAGTGTCTCAGAAACCCAGACTGTTTGGAACCTGAGGTACCTCCATTTCATAATAAGCTGCTATGATCGATGGGGCAGGGGAAGAAAGTCCTGGAAGATCCCGCACTGCTAAGCAATGCTTTGTCCCAAAGTAACACTCTTCACTCTGCTCCCAGTCTAGCTGCCACAAGAGCAGGACAGAATATTCTGTGTGCTCAGAAGAAGGAAAGAGCAGATATGGTTGAGCACTAAAACCCTCTACTGTGGGTAGTGAACCTAGGTAGACACAGTTGCTCACCAGGACACTTAAACCAGCTTTGCGGGACTGTCGGGGTTGGGAAACACAGTCTGGAAAGATTTCCCAATGGAGGAAGCACCAACTGTGGGTCCCCAAAGCTGAGGAGATGATGCTCAGGCAAGGCCGAGGCATCTACAGAGGGCTGGGGAGGTGGGAAAGACGATTTGCTCAGAGGGGGCAGAGATGGGGTGGTGACTGGGAGAGATGCAAGGTCAAGAAAAGGATGGCTTCAGAGGGAAGAGATTTGCTGGGGCAGGGGGCCACAGGATGGGGAGGTTGCAGAGTCCAACAGGACAGCTGACGGAGCAAGACTCTGTGGGCGAGGAGGAGATGGGGTGACTCTCATTGCAGAATCGCACCCGAGTTCCCACCAGCCCTGTGGGGCCGCTATGATTAGTCCCATCCTGCACATGAAGAAAACGAGGCCCCTTCCAGTTGTCCCTCACGCCTCCCTTCATTTGTGTAGAGTACCTGATGTGTATAAGGACAAGAGGTGACAAACACATGGCCCCTACCCTTCAAGGACATATAATCCAGAGCTAGGACAAAACCTTAACACAGGGCAAAGTACCAGTGCTCTGAGTTCATCTGATGAGCGATGGGAGAAGGGGCTTGATACTAGCCATGTGGGAGAGACTGGGTTTCTAGAGAGTCAAGTGTGCTGGGAAAGACTTTCTGGGCAAAAGGAACAAGCAAAGGTGTGCAAAGGTAAGGAAGCAGGAAAACCTGTGCACATCCTGAGAACTTGCCGGCCAGAGGCCTGTGAAGGAGCACAGTGGTCAGGCAGGAGAGGCAGTCGGATCCAGGCTGAGACCATCCTGGAGGGTCTTGAGGCTGGCTTACCCCAGGCTGTGAGTAGTGGGCTCAGCCTAGTCCTGGCTCCTGGGTTAGTGCTCACCTGCCCCTCTGCCCACTCAGGGCCTGAAGGAACGGCCTCAGAGGCCCCACCAACCAGGCTCAGGAAGGCATTCCTAGCTCACAGTACCCTCCTGCAGTCTCCTGAGCCCCTACAGAAGGGGCTCCTGAGTGGGCCGCGCCACACCCCGAGGAGCAGAGGCGCAGTCCTTCCGCGTGCTCCCAGCACACTCCACCCCTGCCCAGCATACCCATGGGGCCCCCACCTTGCCCACCTGGGGAGAACCACCCACTCTGCCCCCGCTCAGGGAGAGTTGGTGGCCACTGCTCTATCCCCTCCCTCCCTCCCTTCCTCTTCTACCTTCTCTCTCTTCTCATCTGGGCGCTGGAACCCAAGCGTGAAAGTGAGAGTCAGAAAGTCTCAGTCTCAAGGCAGAGCGGGGCAGCTAATTTAAAACGGCTTCTACTCCAGCCCCCAGTGTGACTAATCTCCTTCTCTTCGCTCTACAGGTCTATAAATGGGCCACACAGCAGGCGTCCCTTTTTAAATCTGTCAAATCCCCAAATCCATTAAAAGTGACTTCAGAGGTCTCAGATAGGGACCAATATTTGTTTAAACCTTTGTCCTCATTACATTTCATGACCGCCAGCTTACAAAAGAGAGACTGGGGGGTCTGGATGAGACACACGCTTTCCCTTGAGTCCACACTGGAAAGGACAGAGGCAGGTGTCACACCGTTCCTCTTTGACCCGAGCCGCTTGAATCCCAGAGTTTCAACAGCTCAGGTGGGTTGAAGGCTCACAATGTACCAGACATCCGAAGCGCTTTACATACATTTGCTCTTTGAATCTTCACGACAGCCCTGTGAGATGCAATTATCATGCCATCCCACAGACAAGGAAACGGGTCCAGGGAACTGCGGTCTCGGCTCCTTTCCTCTGGCTTCCTCAGAGAAGGCGCGGAGGTCCCCGCCGGGTGGGCCAGGCGGGGTGGGCGGCCCCTCGCGCCCTGGAGTCTCATTCGGCCACCAGGGGGCGCCGCCCCCCGCCCCGCCCCGGTGCGGCCCGGGGAAGCCAACCGCGGAGGCTCCACGCCCAGCCCGCCACGGGACCCCCCCTGCGGCCCCACAGCGAGCCAGGCGGTACTCCCACCACCCAGCTCGCCTCGGACAGTCCGCTTCCCCACCGGGGCGCCCTCCGGCCCGCTGGGCTCCCCGCGCCCACTGCACGCAGGCCTCCCCCTACTCGGGCCACCCCGGAGCCCGGAGACTGAGCCCACTGGCGCCTGCTCACGGGACACGGCCTCGAGGAAACTTCCTGTCTGCCTCCCCGGGGTAAAGCACCGTTTAGTCTGTTTATATTTTCAGCACGAAAGTGTATTAAACACGTTAGAGAACAAGGGGAGTAGAGGGTAAGGTGCCACGAGGCACCGAGAGGGCCCGCAGGCACACGCGGCTTCCTCAGGCTCTCTGACCGGCCGTGGGCAGGGTGGTCCCCGGCCGCACTGTGGGGCCATTCGCACCCAGAAGCTGTCAGCCTCCCCACTGCGTCACTGGCACCATCTGGGACCCATTATTCAGCCACTGCAGGGGGCTCAGTAGCCTCTGCTTCCTCCTCCTTCCTAATCCAAAAACCTTCACCAGAGCACCTCCTGGGGGCCTGGCACTGAGATAGGCGTGCATGTCAGAAAGAAACTGATGTCAGCATTCCGGGCACTGTCTACCCCGGGAAAGACAGGTACCCATCCCATCACAGACTCAGGCACCCAAGCAAGCTGGGCACCAGGCCTAAAGGCGTGAACAAGACAAACAGAAGGCAGATAGACAACCAAGAAAGCATCCAAACTGTGGCTGCAATTGGCCGATCAATTACAGGTGCAATAGTGCCATGAAGGAGAAGTGCAAACAGACAGATGCCTGCACGGAAATGCAGGGGGAAGCGGGTGTATTTGGTGGATTAACAAAGGTGAAAGAGGCCCGTTCCCTAGGGGATTGGAGATCTGGAGCAGAGGTGAACTCTAACTGTGTCTTGAAGGATAGGGTAAGTTTGTTGACAGGGGCCTTAGAGAAGGTGTTCTGGGCGGAGGGGACTACAGGAGTGAAGACTCAGAGGTGAGAAAGCTGGACCAGTGTTTGCCTGGAGGGCAGGGTGTAAGTAGTGCCCCCAGTTGCAAGGTGCCTCAGGCAGAGCGTGGTGGAAGGTGGATTCTAGAGGGACAGTGTATCATGCACATCTCCTTTAGTAACTAACAGTGGATGATGGGGCATCACTGACAGACTTTTAACAGCAGCAAGATACAACCAGATTTCAGGGTGTAAAAGGCCACTGGGGCTACATGTGTACTTGGAAGAGGAAACCTGGCTGGCAAAAGTCCTTAGGAGGGAGGCCTCCTTGTCATTATGGCCACTGGGATACTAGAGTGGGAGACGTCAGAGCCAAGGGCAGGACCAGCAAGCAGCAGGAGCATCCCAGGCACCCACAGGCTCCTGGCAGCCAGGTTGAGCCAGTGCAGAATGCGGGGTTAGCAAAAGGCCACGCTGGAGCCCATCCTAGCACCAGAACTTGCCTTGTTATAAAACAGGCATTGGAAACTGGCTGAGCCTGGGCCCAGCACAAGGGTTCTAGTTGGCTTACAAGATATTTACATGTCTTTAAGTTAGCTCCAAACACCAGGAGAGTTTGACTCGAGTTTTCTCTTGAAAAACCCTGGTGCAGCACTCCAGCCCCAAAACAGTGGACTGTAGCTGAGTAGAGGGCAGTCCTTCAGACGGACCCTGTCCTCTCGGGGTAGCTGCGGTTCCCACATCATCTGCCTGGCGCTTGTAAGTATTTAAAACTTACATACACACACCCTTAAAGAGTCAAGTTAAAACACCAGAAATCCAGGTGGATGTTGGAACAGACAAGCCCAGAAGGAAAGAAAGGCTGTTTGAGAAATAATGACCAGGGAAGACTGGCCGTGCTTGAGGATGGATGGGCAGAAGATGTGAGGAACAAGGGTGATCGCCAGGTGACTGCTTGTGGCCTGCTAGAGAATCAAGTCCAACACTGAGCTCCTCGTCCTCCCCAAACCTCCTTTCACTGACTTTCCTGTCTTTCCTGTCTCAGTTAATGGCATTCCAACCTTAGTTGATTAGACCAAAAACTTGGAGGCAATAGAAAATAAGTTTTAAAAAGACTTTTTAAAATCTACTTTACTGACATATAATTTATGAACAATGAAAAGCATTAATTTTAAGCCTACTTACTGTTCAATGAGTTTTGACAAATGTATACAACAATACAACCACCATTTTAATCGAGATATAGAACATTTCCATGACCACTAGAAAATTTCTTGATACCTCTTTCCAGACAATACTATCCCTGCCTCCTCACTCCATCCTCCTTCCTTGTGCAAGCAACCAATGATAAGCCTTATTTCACTATAGATTAACTTAACCTGTTCTAGAATCTCATATAATCGGGGTCATATAATACATTCTGTATCTGGTTTCTCTTGTTTTGCATGTTTTTGAGATTCATTCGTGTGGCTATGTGTACAAGTAGTTCAAATCCTTGTCATTGCTGGGCAGTATTTCATTGGATAAATAGATCATCATTTGTTTTTCTGTTCATTTATTTTTTGGCATTTAGGCAAAACATGTTTTTCTGTTCATTTGTTTTTTGGCATTTTAGTTGTTTATAATGTTTTTACTATTATGAATAAAACTACTTAAAAATTAAGCAGTACACATTTGTGCACAAGTCTTTCTGTGGACCTATGTTTTCTTTTCTCTTGGGGAAATACTTAGAAGCAAAACTTGCCGGATCCCAGGTTATGTGTACATTTAACTTTATAAGAAACTGCCTATTTCCAAAGTCATGCCATTTAATGCTTCCCACTGGTGTGGGAGAAGTCAGTTGCTCTGTATCATTTTGAAAACTTGTCATCATTAGTGCTTTTTAATCAATCATCTTGAGGTTTAATTTACATGCAATAGTATCCATATATTTTTATTTTTATATTTATTTATTTATTTATTTATTTTGAGACAGAGTCTCGCTCTGTTGCTCAGGCTGGAGTGCAATGGTGCAATCTCAGCTCACTGAAACCTCAGCCTCCTGGATTCAAGCAATTCTCATGCCTCAGCCTCCCGAGTAGCTGGGATTACAGATGCACACCACCACACCCGGCTCGTTTTTATATTTTTAGTAGAGATGGATTTTGCCACGTTGGCCAGGCTGGTCTTGAGCTCCTGACCTCAAGTGATCCACCTACCTCGGCCTCCCAAAGTGCTGGGATTACAGGTGTGAGTCCACCGTGCCCAGCCAATATATTTTTAGAATGAGGTCAATTTATTCTGATAAATGTGACATCCATGTGACTTCCATATCCAAATTAAGATATAGAACATTTCCATCTCCCAAATAAGTTCTGTCCTGCTCCTTTATGGTCTCCTCATTACCATACACTTCTCCGCAGGGAACCACTGATCTGCTGTCTATCACGGTAGATTAGTTTTTCCTGTTCTAGAATTTAATGTAAGTGGAATCTTAAGTATGTCCTCTCACCAGAATGCTTTTGAGTGAGATCCATCCATGGTGTTGTATGAATCAGTAGTTGATTCCTTACCCCACATGCAAAATGAATTTTAACTTTAAAAATCATTTTTGGCCAGGCGCGGTGGCTCACGCCTGTAATCCCAGCACTTTGGGAGGCCAAGGCGGGCGAATCACGAGGTCAGAAGATCGAGACCATCCTGGCTAACACGGTGAAACCCTGTCTCTACTAAAAATACAAAAAAACTAGCCGGGCATGGTGGTGGGCGCCTGTAGTCCCAGCTACTCGGAAGGCTGAGGCAGGAGAATGGCGTGAACCTGGGGGGTGGAGCTTGCAGTGAGCCAAGATCGCGCCACTGCACTCCAGCCTGGGCGACAGAGTGAGACTCCGTCTCAAAAAAAAAAAAAAAAAATCGTTTTAAAATCTTTACATTATGAACATCTTTAATAGTCATGAAATCATTATTTCGAATGGCCTAAGCCCATCAGTTTGTGTTTCAAATGATTTTACTACATCTTAAATATCTAATAAAATAGGTAGTTTTAAAAGTCACATATTTGTAGAATGAACCTAGTAAAGGCTTATCATGAAGACTGCCTGTTGAATATTCTTGTTTTCCATTATATCCATAGGTAGTCTCTTAAGTAGGATCAGATTATGACAATCAGATCATCTAAGTTTCTATGAAGGCAAAAATTTAGTGTCTGCTTTTTCAGTTTTCACATAAAAATGCTGATAAGACTATCTGAAAAAGTGAAAATACTATCTTAACTATCCTATGCTTGGTTAATTTTCCACAAGATATTTGTAATGGCCGGGCATGGTGGTTCACACCTGTAATCCCAGCACTTTGGGAGGCCAAGGTTGGTGGTTCACCTGAGGTCAGGAGTTTGAGGCCAGCCTGGCTAACATGGTGAAAGCCTGTCTCTACTAAAATACAAAAATTAGCTGGGCGTGGTGGCAGGCACCTGTAATCCCAGCTACTTGGGAGGCTGAGGCAAGAGAATCGC